TATGAATAAGTATGTTTGGGTGTGTGTACGTGTCTGGATGTTTGCGTGTATACGTGTATACGTGTGTACGTGTATACGTGTGCACGTGTGTGTGCGAGTATGCGTGTATGCATGTGTGTGTGTGTGTGTGTGTGTGTGTGTCTGTGTGTGTGAGAGCGCGCGCGCGCGTGCAGCGCTCACGCGTGTGCCCGTGCGTGTATTTATCAGATATACCTTCCAGCTGGAGGATATAACAGACAGAATAAAACATACGGCTGAAGCCAGTCCAAATTTCAAATGCTAGACCTAGGTCTATACCTAGGTCTATCATAATAACATACCTCGATAGAAACCTCTCCTGAAGCCGTGAGCGTAAACGTCGGCGCTGGACGTGACGGGGAACTGAGGTATGCGCGTGTCCTTGCTCACAGTCGGAGTGATCCGAAAGCGAGCTTTGTGCACCTCATTCAGGCGTTCCTCTTGCACGACCTGCTTATCACTTAGATTCTTCCCTCCGTACAAGTGGAAATGCATCCAACGTGTCATGTCGTTAGCAGTGGTCATCACTGCCCCGGAACCCGCCAGAAGAGCCCAGCGCCTGGTATGAGACATTGAGGTCTGGTCAGAAAGCATACCCAACGGCTTCGCTCTATTAAATACTTAAGCTAAATGTAAAAGCTGGGATTACTCTCTTTACACGCCAACTTTTAAACCACAGCAAGGTACAAAAGTGCACCATCGTTATTGCTACACAGTAATGTCGTATTCCGCTAATGACAGTGTGCCAACTGGCCGTCTCGCCCTCACGCTGGCACACGTGAGGTCACTGTCGTGAACTCTCAACAAAATGTTCGAAGATCGGAAGCAAGTTAGATCCTATTTTTTACATTTTCGCCCTGGATATTTCTCTCGTGATCTGGCATCCTATTAAGAAAACTAAATGAAGACTACATCTTCAATTTGAAAATGTCTATAATCAGGCAAACAGATCATTCGAGAAAACTCAAGATGTTCTTACTTTGAAAATTCATGAGACACTCGGACTTCCTCTCCTGTCATTTTTTGGGAGTACGCAGTGGCTACGTTGTTCCTGCTCCAGTCCACGTCCGTCAAAAACGTGGAGTTCTCCATACCCAGTGGCTCAAACAGGTTTTCTCTTATTAGCTGTTCCCACGAAGCTTCGCCTACTATTTCAGCAAGGCGTGTGACCAAGCCGTACATAATGTTACTGTAGAAGTACTTCACCCGGAATTGGTGCGGGGCTGGGAGGAGAGCAATGTGACTAGAGAAAAAATAGATATCACGATATAATTAGATGTCAGTGTCAGTTCTCCATGCCATTTCACAGCGGGTAGGCTTACACGTGGAAGCTTATAATTATATTTATATTGCAGGGTTCTAAATCATGACTGTCTCCAAGATGTCAAAAGACAAACAAACCGTTCCTATACCATCAATAACAGAAAGTAGGTACATCAATACCCTACATCTTTACGAATAGAAAAAGACAAAGCTATCCAGAAAAAGAAAATATAGAAAATCAATTATGTAACTTGCCTGTTGTCGGGTGACTTCCCGGTATATGGTACTTTAATTAATTATTTTTTTATAATGAAAAAAGGATTAGAGACAAAAAGCTATAGCCGTTGACACAAAAATGACAATTTCCTGCTCGTCTGGTGCTCGTCCGTTGACATTGACAATGAAGCTAACTCGGTTCTAGTTTCAATAAATTGGACACAGTTTTGATTTGTGTCCAGCTTCATGGTTTTGGAGATGATGATGATGATGATGATAATATAGGATTTGTCATCAAGGATAATATTTAGAATATCAACTTCATCGGGGGTGGCGGC